GTCCTTCAGGAACAGGCTGCTCCAGCGTGGGTCCCCCACAGGGTCACAAGTCCTGCCAGCAATCCTGCTCCAGCCTGGGCTCCTCTCTCCACAGGGCCACAGGTCCTGCCAGCAGCCTGCTCCAGCATGGGCTTCCCACAGGGTCACAGCCTCCTTCAGGCATCCCCCTGCTCCAGCGTGGGGTCCTCCCCAGGCTGCAGGTGGAGATCTGCTCCCCCGTGGAGCTCCATGGGCTGCAGGGGCACAGCCGGCCTCCCCATGGGCTTCCCCAGGGGCTGCTGGGGAACCTCTGCTCCGGCGCCTGGAGCCCCTCCTGCACCGGCCTGGGGGTCTGCAGAACTGTTTCTCTCACATGTTCTCCTTCCTCTCTCTGGCTGCAATTGCTGTGCAATGTTTTTTTTTTTTCCCCTTCTTAACTCTGCTCTCCCAGAGGTGCTACCACTGTCGCTGATGGGCTCGGCCTTGGCCAGCGGTGGGTCCATCTTGTAGCCAGCTGGCATTGGCTCTGTCAGACACAGGGGAACCTTCTAGCAGCTTCTCACAGAAGCCACCCCTGCACCTCGCCCGCTACCAAAACCTTGCCACGCAAACCCAATACATCCCTAAAAGGTTTTGAGTGACAAATCTGACACTGGCAGGTTAGTTTCCTTAATAAATCCTAAAGTCTCTCCAGGTTTCGTAATCAATAAAGGTTAACGAAGATCCCTAAATCAAAAACCAACCAAACAGAAAACACCTCTTGCCTTCTATATAATATGTACTGTTTCTCCTGAAACACACAACCTTTTCCTCTCCTCTACAAATATTAACTATTGGCCTTAGACGCTCCCATTTGCTGGACTACTTATCACCATTCAGTTGCAACATTTTTACATTAGCAACAGCAGCTATTTTTGTTTATGTTCACATCTAAACGAATGAAATAAAATACAAACCTGAAAGTTCCGGAGTTTATATGTGGACTACTGTTTCTTAGCTTTAACTGTGCATACAAAGCTGTTTTAACTACTTTTTTCTATTTTCCACAGAAAATAAATGCCCAACCTAGGCATAAGCACCACCTTCTTCTCTAAACATGGATTCCTTAACAACCCTAGCCACTTTCCTAGTTTCCCAATAAAAATTCAAGTTGCCACAGGAGGGGAAAAAAGGCCTATAGTGGGGAAAAAAGTATTTGCGGAATAAATATTTATATACAGTACTATAAATGGAGATGTCAGTAAAGTAACTCAGTGTTATCAAAACAGATACCCAATTAATTTTAGCACCCTCTAAGACATACTGCACACTTTCCAAAAGCGTAGTCACTCTGCAACATTGTGACTGAACTTTCACACCAACCACACTCAAACGTCATCCTTGCGCAACATTTGTCTGAACACGGGGGTGAAAGGCATGTGCAGAGTTTCTTCTGGAAAAATCCTTGCTAATGAAAGGCTGATCTAGGAGACTTCAGTCATTTCATTGCAAGCAGTGGCACAAAGAAACACAGTGTCCTTCACTCACCCTTCCTGTACTGCATCAATAAGAGAGCCAAGGTTATTGTTTACTTCTCCTGATAATCATGTAGAGGCCTGGACCCCACTATATTACATACTATGCAAGGACTGCACCTCAACTGAAAGTTTGTAAGTGCAACATAGTAGCAAATGTACGAGATGGAGTCCAAAGTAATGAAGTTATTTTAATCTGTATGCAAATAAGCTGTCTCAATATATTAGCTCTCAAGCTATTGTTTAGATTCTGAATGCAACATGGCAGCAGCAGTTCTAAGGAGTATGTGTCACGTATCAACATCTAGATTTTAAGTTAATTGCAATTAAAAGTCTTATGAGTATGAAAGTCATAAGCTTAAACTTGGTAGATAGTTGCTTTTAGAAACACTGCATGTCAGTGTTTTTAACTGTCTTTTCATTTCTGCTGCACGATTCAGTGATAAACAACTATACACCATATAGCTTTATTTCTACTGTAGAACTAACCAGCAGAGGGAGTTTCTGTCAAGAACACCTCTTCTAACTGCTTTGACATCTTTG